AGACTTCAAGTGATATATTGATAATTCGTAGCATCCGGAAAAGAGCATAAAGTAGCGGAAAGGGAAAGGGGTGAAGCCGTTAAGATGAAACAAAACGATTTACTAGATTTCCCTAGCAAGAGTTGAAATCTTTTTTGGCTTAATCACTATTGCCAAAATGAAGAAACTGTGGCATTTTAGATTTCATTCAAGAAATTGTAATGCTGAGTACTCATATTGAATTCGCATTTTTTTCGTACACCTGCTCTTCTCCGTCTGCAAAAATTGAGCGCAGAGCTACTTCGGCCAATTTTGAAGTTAAATTCAATGTCTCCGTTATGTTTTCATACTCCTAGATGGACACTGCTCAAATTTGCAAATTGAAGGAAAAAATGTGGCCTTCTTCCCATATGTCTGCAATGTGCACATTCTAGAATCACAACTACTTACTTTCAAAGCAACTTCTGATAATAAACAATTTCTTGCAGCCAGATCTCGATGCACGCAACCTTTTGAATGCAGATAACTCATTCCTTTTGAAGCCTTAAAACGTACTAATTACTAGTAATATATTATTTTGATATGTCAAAACAATTTGTTCCTTTTATTTTCTCGTTTCATCCTATCTTTCAAAATAATCTTTTAAAGCTGTTCTCAACTGCTTAGCAGAAATGTTGGCATTACATTGTACTGCAAGGTAGTTATCAAGAAGAGAATAAGAAAGGCCAAATTATGATGGCTCTGCTAGAATAATTCCTTTTTAGTGTAAGTTACATAATCGGTATACAGTTAGGGGATATCAGAAAACGCAATAATTTCGTTTTTTAGAATATAATTGTGCACTAAAGAATTGACACGAAATTGGAGCAAAGAGGATTTTTGCATGACTTAACCTTGATTAAAATTGTGCTATTTTGTACATTGGTAAAGCGCGACGATGTTTATACAACCCTTTCTTCTAACAAAAATATACGACTGTTTTTATGTTTTTCCCTAAATCCACGACTATTACACTATCAAGATGGAAGTTATTGATCGTGAAAAATGATGTTATCAGAGCTTTTCTCAGTAAAAATATCCAATTTCGATGAAAATCAACATGACTGTAGCCTAGCACAACATCAGCTGATTTACCACAAACCTCGTATATCAGTGATATACGTTCAGGAATTGAAACTTTGTCTCTCATCTTCTGCATATGCTCTTGCAAATTACCACCCGGACAGTATTCCATTACTATCATAACTGGATAGTGATCACAAGCTACACCATACAGCTGAAGCTTGTACACTCAAATAAAGTCTAGGTGCAACTTAGTTTTAAATCTGTACCTGTATAACATTCTTGTGTACGTAATAGCTCATTAGTTGTGCTTCATGTATCATTGATTCTCTAGCTTGTTTAGCTGCTTCTGTCACTGTGTCTTTTGATGCGCCATGGCATATCTTCAAAAAAAGTGTCGACTTCTTCTTAATTGACAATTAACCTTACTTTTATGGCTACTGGAATTATGTCATTTTTGTCGCGCTCGTAAGTTCCTCGAAAAACTTTACAAAAATTTCCAGTTCCAATCAGGTCCTTCAACATGTCAAATTTGCACATGTCATGTTTAATTAGCCATTTTGGTCTATGTATAGGGGTTTTCATAACAATATGTCCAGGGAGTTCATGCTTCTGAAAGCATTTCATTACTCAACTTTTACGTTCTTTACCTCTTTGCTTACCTTATAATACTCCACAAGATCGACAACAGTATCAAAATGAGGCGCTCCTTTCTTTCTGTAAGCGCCAAGAACCCATTTATGATTATCATATCTAAAGCTACCTTTGTTACGAATTAGCTTTTGGTTAATTCTGATGTTAACTGATAGTTGAAATGTGATGATAAAAAAGATTTGTTGTTGTTGAGCTACACGCCAGATTT